ATAAGCGGACGACGTAGGAGCAGCTCCAATTTTATGTGCAGTTTTGTAGGGAGCATCCGGAGCTGCTCGTCTTCCACAAGCACGGCTGCGCAAACAACTAAAATTTCTTCTGCCATTGAAATTAGTTGATTTTTATATTTTTTTCACAAATTTATTAAATTGTCGCACTTTTTAAACCAACACTAACATATGTTTTTGCCTTGTCACCTGCCCAAAAGGTCATGACAATAAAAATGACAATTGGCATGATTCGAGCTTTTGAATTTTGCTGCGAATACCAAAAAGCTGCAATTGTCATTTTTAGATCAATTGTCATCGCGGTGAGTTTTGTCAGTGTGGCGGAATAGGGCTGTTAAGGCCGGTTACTCAATAACAAGTTAACACTAATCTGAGGTTAAACATCGTTATCGACGTCTTCGACTCCATGCATACAACAGGGATTCGGTAACGTCGATAACTATGTTTAACTGGCCCTTATTGTTATGACCTACTGAGTAAGTGACAACGGCGAAACAATGTTTATATTGTGTTTTAGGCGCAGTAATTGTGACAATAGTCATATGATGAATTTTGTCAGTGTTGTGGGAAAAGGGCCGGTTGTTCAATGTCTGGTGATCACTACCACTACACTAACGACGATTTCGACATCATGCATGTAACATGTGATCGATAAAGTAGTAGTTGTTCTTAACCGGAGCTTCTACCTCCGATTTGTGCTAATCAGACATTGAACAACCGGCCCTAAGAATCTAAATGCTAAAAGCAACCCTGTGATCTTCCAAAATTTCCACGATTCGAACATGGTTTAATGGGTAAAAGTGGCAACATTGTTTTTTCGTGTATACAGTGGCTAGCTGCGTTTCAGTGATCGCCGATCGAGATTTCATGTATTATTTTCCATTATTAGGATAAAGAAAAGTTACCCAAATTCAACGTCGATGTGATGCTGGTAAAAGTCTGGATCAATTTGTGATCAACCCTGTTTGTTTTATTTTTTCCTAATTAAGTGAGGAAATTTTAATTGACAGCACCGAGAAATGAAAATATACACAAACAAATTTTCGGTTATGGTTAAAACAATTCAAGTTTTTGTATTGAATTTTTGGTTTAAAGATTATCTTTGCCTTTTTAGTAGGTTTTTTAAACACTATCTTCTGCGTGAGAATTGTTCGTAATAGATACGGGTCTGAATAAGCGACTTGAACACGGCTGTTTGTCAAAAGCATCCGATTTCAAACTCGCGTAAATGTACATTTGCTAAATGCGATAGCATTAACGCTCTTCGTAAACATATGTTCGAAAGTGCTAAATGTTGCATTTTAAATGCAGCAAAAACGCTGCATAATATTACATGTAAATTGAATTGTTATTGTTATTGACTGAATTGTTAAAATACGGTTACTGATCGTATAAAAAATAAAAAAAGGGGAGAAAAATCGATTTGCCATTTCTAAAAACTGTGTTATAGGCTGTTTTTGCTTACGCGTAAAAGCACATTTAGCGCATTTAGCTCTAAATGCTACTCTAAATGTACATTTATCCATACAAAATTCGTCACCTAAATGCAACTAAATGCAACTCCATTTTTGCATTAAGAATCTAAATGCTAAAAGCAACCCTGTGATCTTCCAAAATTTCCACGATTCGAACATGGTTTAAAGAGAAAAAGTGGCAACATTGCTTTTTCGAGTATACAGTTGCTAGCTACGTTTCAGTGATCGCCGATCGAGATTTCTTTTATTTTGCATTACATATTTGGATAAAGAAAAGTTAAGCAAATTCAACATCGATTTGATGCTGATAGAAATCTGGGTCAATTTGTGATCAACTCGGTTCGTTTTGTTTCCTAATTAAGTGAGAAATTTTTAATTGACAGCACCGACAAATGAATATATACACAAACAAATTTTCGGTTATGGTTAAAACAATACAAGTTTTTGTATTGAATTTTTGGTTTAAAATTTATTTTTTCCTTTTCAGTAGGGTTTTTGCTCATTATCTCCTGCGTGAGAATTGATCGTAATATATACGCATCTAAATAAGAGACTGGAACACGGCTGTTTGTCAAAAGCATACGATTTCGAACTCGCGTAAATGTACATTTGCTAAATGCTATAGCATGAACGCTCTTCGAAAACATATGTTCGAAAGTGCTAAATGTTGCATTTTTAATGCAGCAAAAACGCTGCATTACATAAAAAGGGGAACACCTAAAATGAAAAACGGGAAAATATATAAAATTGGCATACTAAAAATCTGACAACACTGATCATACGTTGTTGGAGGCATTTTTGACATTTTCCTTTCATACGCCCATTGTTCCAAAAGTGTACACGTTTTTGCCGTGAATTTCACCGAAGAAGAGCCTTACGTACAATTTTAGGTCAAATTTGTGTAAAAATTACTAAAAAGACAAATAAATATCGCGAAAATGGCGTTAACTTCACGTTTTTATAGCGAAAAGTATCCTGAGGTCGAAGATGTCGTCATGGTGAATGTATTGTCCATCGCTGAAATGGGCGCTTACGTACATCTGCTGGAGTACAACAATATTGAAGGAATGATTCTGCTGTCGGAGCTTTCTCGCCGTCGTATTCGTTCCATTAATAAATTGATTCGAGTAGGCAAAACAGAACCGGTTGTGGTGATACGTGTAGACAAAGAAAAGGGCTATATTGACTTGTCGAAGCGTCGTGTTTCGGCGGAGGATGTAGAGAAGTGCTCTGAGCGCTTCGCAAAAGCGAAGGCTGTGAACTCCTTACTTCGACATGTGGCCGATATTCTAGAGTATGATTCGAGTGAAAAGTTGGAAGAACTCTACTTGAAGACAGCTTGGCATTTCGAAAAGAAATATAACAGCAAGACCGTTGCGTACGACATCTTCAAGCAATCTGTTACAGAACCTTCTGTGTTCGACGAATGCGGCTTGGATGAACACACCAAGGAAGTATTGCTGAATAACATCAAGCGCAAACTGGTTTCCCCTACGGTGAAAATTCGCGCCGATATTGAATGTTCGTGTTATGGTTATGAGGGTATTGATGCTGTTAAGGCTGCATTAAGAACAGGATTGGATTTAAGCACAGAAGAGCTGCCAATTCGTATTAATTTAATTGCACCTCCATTGTAGGTATTATTAAAAAAATTTATTCAAAAACAAATTAACAAAAAAAATTTTTGCAATGTAGATATGTAATGACAACGTCGACAACTAAAAAAGCTGAAGGATTGAAAGCTCTCGAAACGGCTATTGAAAACATTCGAAATAAGATTATTGATTCCGAAGGAGAATTCAAAGTAATAATGCCTCCGAAACTTGTTACAGCTATTGATGAAGCCGATTTGGCGCGTCGCCTGGAGCGTGCGGAAGCTGAAAATCAAGAAGTTGGTGGTGACGATGATGAAGACGCGGATGGCGACCAAGAAGGCATGCAATTCGATCCAGAAAAAGAGTTCAACCACAGAGGCGAACGTGCAGCTGCACAAAATGACAACGAAGATGAAGAAGAAGATGAGGAGGATGAGTAGTTATCGAAAGTTATGTGAATTCGTTATGTAAAATTCTGTTTAAAAACCGATTAGTGGAATCATTTATATATACATATAAAGATTCTCAAGTCTCGCTGGAACAGAGCTTATTACAAACAATTTTTTTAAAAGCAACCACGAATTCAATCAAAACTATTGAAATTGAAATAAATCTAATAGAATATTAATCATACATCTTTAGCGTTGTAAAGTCTTAAAATCGTCAAGTAAAGTTAAATAGCGATTAACACAGGTTTTATTTGTAACTGCAACCAAATAATTTTAAAGGGATAGAAAATATATAATTAGCATTTATTATGACCTTTGAAATCCCTAAGCCATTTTAACTGTTTTTGAAAAATTTGACGATTTTAGGACAATAAGGACCTTATGACGTCTTGTGAATCCCTATATGTATATCACGTTTTTTGGACACGAAGAAGGTATATAATTTATGCAATTATGGAGTAAAATTTCATGATAAAATATAGAAGAACAAAAAAGTGGAAAAGTATGCCATAATTAGTTTACTAAAATTGATATAATCATAGTTAAGGAAACTTACAAGTCATTTTTAAGCAAAAATCAAAACCGACTTCAATTCTCATAAAAATATAAGATTATCGTTAATTTCTTCACGATCCAATTATCGGTTCTAAACAAAATTAGTATGGAACCACCCCTGGCGTACCACTTTCCGATGAAAAAAGAATTATCGAAATCGGTTAACGTGGTTCAAAGTTATGCGGTAACATACATAAAAAAAAAATATTCCGACGAACTGATAACCTCCGTTTTTTTGAAGTCAAGGAAAGGTTTCACCTCATAGATGGTCCCATACTAATTTGGTTTAAATCCGATCATTGGATCATGAAGAAATTAATGCTAATCTTAAATTTTTATATGAGAATTTCAATTCGGTTCGGTTCGAAAATTTCACGTCATTGCCTAAAATTTCCACGCGACTAGTGTATTAAAACGAAAGAACTTCCAAGCACTGTATAGTTTTCGACGATTTTCGTCGTTTACGAGAGTAATAATGCCAATGTTGTCGAGTCGTACAATTTACCCTAATTTACGACTTACGCAATGAGGCTGTATTTTAATAGGGTGTATTCGAGTTGCAATAAATGCGACAGTGCCGCTTTTTATGAAAGAGCATCACTTCCTTCGAGATAATTTGGTATACTGCCTTCATCACGCGTTCGAGGAGCGAAAGTTTGAAATCGCAGTTGCATTATAAAAATGTTTACTACGTGATTTCTGCATCATTTCAGTAGATTTCCTGTTGAGCATCAGCAACAACGCATCAAGATAGAAGCAATATTGTAATATTGTGGTAATTATTACATACGCATAGGAGTTCGGCCCCATACAGGAAATGTGATTTCATGCGTCTAGGGCAGTGATGCTGCATTACTATATTCAGGATCTTCTTCTTTACTCAAACGATACAAGAAATGAAAGATTGATTTTGTTCTAATTTCACCTATTTTTTCTTTATTTATTAAGTATTTCCATTTTACTTTTCTTATATCGTGCTACGTTTGCAAGTTAAACCCCTTTCGTACATACATCATAAATTTTTACAGGAAACCTGTTTCGTTACTTAACTAGACCCAAAAAATCGATGTTATAAAAAGTGTATTGAAGTCCTTCAAAAACCAATATTTTTCGTTGACATTTCGCATTCACCCAAAATTTTAATTTAATATCTAAATGATAACAGTTTTGTTCAATTAATTATTTATATTTTTGTAGCTATTCTCAATTGATCCGAGTCTGGTGACTTTCCCCCACAAATCCATCGCAGTATTTGTCCACTCCATGTGTATATAATAAGAAATGCTCTAGCCTGAGGTAGTTTGTATGATGTGGTAGGCTTAATCCATTCCCGAAGCTGACGCTTTCTCTCAAAATATTGCTACTGCACGTGTTTTATGTCATTTCTTTTATCAGATAATGATAATTTTACGCATATTCATACATGTAAGATTTATATATGTAAACATGTATTGCAAACAGTGGCATGGTTAATCCGTTACATTTTTTTTTAAATATTGCGTTTTATATCTTTTGTGTCTGATCTAGTGGTTTAGGGCGGCGACAGTGCTGACGACGCCAACGTCTTCTCAAAATCTCAACGACTTAGCAATAAGCGCAGCTGTCGCCTGCGTTTTATTGCCGTTATGTCGTCGCAATTCAGCAATCACATCATCACGATTATAACCAAGTCTAACCAAATCGGCGACATCACTCTCAGTGAAGCTATCATTCGATAATACGCTATTAGATGTACCACCTTGAGATCTCTTCGAAGTTGATGCTATGGTAATGGCAATGTTACTAGCTGCTTTTTTTTATTTATTAAAGCTAATATAAAGTACCTGCATCTTGCTTGCTTTGTTCAATCGCTTGCTGTATATCACGCGACTCTGCCTCGCTGGCTGATTTCTCCAATAGCTTTAATTCCTCCTCAGAATTACCAGTAAGACGTGCGCAATCTGGCAGTTCATTTTCGGGCAAGAATTGGGTCTCGGTACCGGTAGTACCTATACGCAGCACATTACGTTGCAAATCAATATTACACTGCGAAAACACATAACGATGAATTTCTAAATACATATTATGAAATTAACTTAACAAATAAGTGTTTTGTATTTCTGTAGCAATTACAAGGGGTTTGATTAGCAAATTAAATTCTTAGGCAGCCCATAAAATTAAGTAAGATTACCTGATGGCGTTTCAACATGTCGAGTCCGAGTAGCATATCCATTGGTTGCTTTTCCAGAACTGAAAAGCTCGAGGTTAGATGATCGCTTTCAATCTGCAATTGAACCATGTGTATCCGGCCAATGATTCGCTGAGTACCAACGCCCTTGGCAACGCCATTCCATCTACAAGCATGGTACAATAAAAAAATAAAATAAAACTTTTTAATATACAATATAAATGGACTAAAAATTACAAAATAATATTTCTCAGCCTCATAGAATTTGTTTCGATAACTTTTGATTTTCAAATTTTAGCAAAAGTCATAAACCACTATGCGATTGAAAACGAAAAACGTGGAGCGCATGCAATGCAATGCAAAGCATTAGATTTAATTGACAATAGTCAAACTACATAACATAGACCTAAAATTTCTACAGAGAAAGTACAAATTTGAGATCGAATTCAAGCGGTCGTTATTCATATATCCACATTCATACATATATTACCCTTCATATCAATTCAGGTCTATTACATACGCCCCACGCATGACTTGCTAAAATTTCAAAATCAAAAGTTATCAAAAAAAATTCTATGGGACTGAGAAATATTGTTTTCTAATTTTTAGTCCATTTATAAAAGCGTACATAAAATTTTTTATTTTTATTTTATTTATTTTCTATTTTTAGTCTTGTCTGTATAAAATTTTGCAATAGGTTATAAAATAATTCAACTAGTAGTTAAAAGAGAACAGAATACAATGCAAACAAAATGTTGTTCGCTCACGTTTAGTAGAAACATACATATGTACATGCATACATATAGCAGCAGTTAATTTCATTTAAAGAAATGGCGTGCTGTTGTTGTGGCGGCTACAAAAATCCCGCCCAGATCAAGCTCCACTAACGGCAGCCCTAGGAAGGGTGCAGCCTCGACGGGGTCTGTCCATAGGGACAGGGGCGTTAGCGTGGTGGGGTTTAGAGGGCATACGAAGAGATGCTGTGAGTCATGGGGCGACTCTCCGCATGCCGGGCATTCGTTTGGAATATCTTCACTTAATCTGCAGAGGTTTGAGTTCAACCTGCTGCAGTAACCAGAGCGCAGTTGGGCTATTGTGGTCCGAGTCTCTCGAGGCAGACGAAGTTCTGTCTCGTCCACGTCTGGTCGTTGTGTTTCGACGATCTAACCCCGTTTAGGTCGGCGAAATCCCTCAAAAGAAATGGGCTGTCGTCCATTTCCGCTGTAGCGTATGTAAATAGTGCATATATTTAGGCGCAATATTTAACTTCTTCTGGCGGGGCGACATATAGAGTCTTCTAATTGTATCTCATTGATATGATGCCTACAACGAGGTTGATATCTAGACTAGGTTGATATCTAGAATTTGGCATAAATAGCTTTGCTACATTTATAGTATAAATGGTGGTCTGGACACACAACATTGCAAGTTGATAAAAGCGTTATAATAAAATGTAGAAAAAGATGCAAAAATGTTTTTGTTCTTAAGTTTATATAATTGAGCTTGCATGCTGATTAGAGGGTGTAAAAAATACAAAGCGGTTAGAATTCAATATTAACACTCTTACCTAGTATCGATTAGCCTATTCACATTGCAGCGCTCAGCGCATCCTGCACTCATTATTGTAGTTTGTGCACCTGAATCTACGAACGCTTTTACCGGCACACCATTGACTTTACAGTTTATGTAGCTGAAAATAAATATAGATAGGCTAATTTATATAGAAAAAGGTGCTACCATCAGTTGCAACTTACAGCATAGTGACAGTGCCAAAGATTTCTGGATTATATTCAATGGCGGCTGCCATGTTGTCTTGAATATTTTTTTGTTTAATCTCCTCAGCAATAAGACGTTGCGCCTCTTCATCGAATGGATCAGCATTCAACATGCGTAAACGTTGCATTTGACGTTGTTTTCTGAGATCGATTTGCTCGCGTAATATCTTTGCGAAGTTTTCCAAATTTCCTGAGAGCAATGCGTCGGCTAGTCTTGGATTGTTCTGTTTCAGTAATGACAAGGATTCCGGATTTGAAAGAAACATTTGACGCACAGCAGCTGGATCATCATCGTAGTTGACATTAAATTCATCAGATTCAGAATAATCCATACCGCTGGGTGCGGGACGATAACCTGGTGCCAGCCCGGAAGTATTGCTGCCACCAACGCCGGGTATTAGTATATTACTAAAATCTATACCTCCAATTGACGAGGCTGCATCTGATGTATGCAAAGAGGTACAGAGGAATTTTAACATATTAGAATTGAGAAAAAAATATAGAATTATATTTGACCAACAGATACGTAACGTTCTGGTGAATTTTTTATCAATGGAATTTTAGCTTGTTTAATCAAATAAACTTTTATCTTATTTGTTTATTTAAATGTGTGAAAAAAATAAGCGAGTGAATAAACTTTTCTGCTACACGTCTGACCTTGAATATTAGCAGACGTACAATACCTACATATCTATCTATCTATCTTCTTCTTCTATATATGTATATAAATGTGAATGTCTGTTTTTTATTACCTTATAACTTTTGAACCGCGACAAGGAATCGCACTAAACTTTGCACACTTATTTGTGTTATAGGTATGGTCTTATTTGCAACTACATATATAGCAAATTTTGCAACATCCCATAGGGCTGAAATTTTTAATCAGCTATAACTGGAAATTTGGTGCGAAGACATTTATATGGTAGGCGCTTATAGGAAGGTATATATAAATGAGTTTAAAAAAGTGGGCTTGGCACATCCCATAGGCGTGGAATGTTGTAGCAGCTATAACTTCGGAAGCATAAATCACATGAATTTGAGATTTGTTATGCAGTCATGTCTACCAAAGTTATTATTGCATTTCTAGCTATAAAAAAGGCCTATTGTGTTCTACAATGACCTTGCTTTCAACAAGATGTTTTAAATTCGCAGATGTCCATTGCACTTATACTGCGCAGAAAATATTTTTATCTTAGCGAGGTCGCATTCAATACATAATTGTTTACAAACGTTCATACGTTTGTGAGCTTGAAGACCAAAAGATATGTAGCTCCATAAAAATAAACATAGTATATGTACATATGTACCTTCATATGCATGTACATATCGATATCGTCGTTTAAAGTACAAAACCGCATATCGTGATTTTGCAAAAAAGTGACATTGGCTGCCAAAAATTGGATTTGTTCACACAAGCTCTTGGCTCAATCCTTATCCATTCGTCTTGAAATATACTAGGCAGATAAGCGATTGCTTTATAAAGAAGAGAATCATTTTGAAATTTGAGTGTTTTTCCGCTCTAGAAAATAATTTCTACAATTTCACATACGCGGTTTTGAATTTTGCTGATACGCGGTTTTGCACTTTAAACGACGATATGTACTTGTTCGTCCAAATACGATACGATCGATTTAAATGCGACTGAGAGCTATTTTTTCAGTCAAAGTAAATGCAGTAGAGCTATTTGTTGTTTAAGAATGGAAATGCAAGCGTGGAAAAATTACGGGTGGATATATGAGGAGTTGGAGCGCATTGACCCACTTATACAGACAAATAATAACCAGGCATACAAAAACAACCAATCAGAAAAGGACTACATACATGCAATTAATTTATTAATTTACAATTACATTCATGATAAATAAAAGCTTATAAAAATATGTCTAATTTACTCACCTAAACCTCCAACTGCTGGAGCACCAGCGGAACGAGCGATTGGTAAACGCTGTAATATAACACAGTCACCATCTTTAATGCCGAAATGTTTGAGCGATTTTTTATCATCCAGCAATGGCGCCCCATTGAATACAATAATGATCTCGGCGCTGGGTAGACCAGATTCAACTTCACAGAATGCCTTGAAGTTTTCCAGTTCCAGTTCCTCGGAAACATCCAAGAAAAATACGCTATCAGTTAGCGTGGTTACCGTTATCTTCATTGTTCTATTATTTAGTCGCTATCCAACTACTTTAGTGATCGTTATACTTTTATTTGTCAATTGTTGGACAAAAGTAATTACGATGGCTACAAAAAATAAATGTATTTATTGCTCTGGTGCACTGTACGTTTTCTTGCTGCTTACACCTAAACGCACGAGAACTGGCTGAATATCTGCACAAATACACTGATCTTGATAAAATTTGCTTCTATTATTTGCAGTATTTCTCTTTGTTACACATTTATAACCAATGCATTTCAAAAACAATGCATAAAATGCGCTCAGCCGTGATTCGTCACTAAAAAACAGGAGGTTTTCGGCTTGATTTCGTTTTTTTTTCTTCCAGTCTCATTCGCTACTTTTAACTTTTCCTTTTTAGCTCGCTTCTGTTTTTCGTTCAATCGGCATTGTCATTTTCGGCCTTTTCGTTGTTGCGTCCAGTGTTGCCACGAA